ACCGATTCTCACCCTTCACCCTCCTCCCATCCTCCTCACTCCTCCCTCCCTCTCCCTCCTTCATCCTCCTCCTCCGCGGTCGCTGACAACAGGTCTGCTGTCGTCGTTAAACACGTGCTGATGCCGCTCTCTGCCAACACAGTGAGTCTCCCTCCCGTCCCTCGTCCCTCCTCCCCCCTCCCTCCTCCTCCTCCCTCCCTCACCTCCTCCCTCCCTCCTCCTCACCCTCCCTCCTCCCATCCTCCGTGATCGCATGACACGGTCTGCGCTGTCGTTCGTTAAAACACGGCTGATGCGCTCTCGCTGCGCAACACGGTGAGTCTCCGCTCGCTCGCTTCCTCCTCCTCCCTCCTCCTTACTCCTTCTTCTCTTTCCCTCTCCCTCCTCCTGCCCTCCTCTCTCCCTCCTCCTCCTCCGCTCGCCTCTCCCCCTCCGCGGTCGCTGACCGGTCTGCTGTCGTTCGTTAAACACGGTGCTGATGCGCTCTCTGCGCAACACGGTGAGTCTCCCTCCCTCCTCCCTCCTCCCTCCTCCCTGACTCCTCCTCCTCCTCCTCCCCCTCCTCGCCTCCTCCTCCTCCTCCTCTCCTCGCCTCCTGCCCTCCTCCCTCCTTCGCTCCTTCGCTCCTCCCTCATCCCTCCTCCCTCCCTTCCTCCCTCCTCCCTCTTCCGCTCCACCCTCCTCCCTCCGCCCTCCCTCCTCCTCCCTCCCTCCTCCGCGGTCGCTGACCAAAACAGGATCTGCATGTCGTTCGCTAGTAAACCCCGGCTGATGCCGCTCTGCGCAACACGGTGAGATCTTCCCTCCTCCCCTCTCTCCTCCCTCCTCCTCCCTCCTCCCCTCTCCTCCCTCCCTCCTCCCTCCTCCGCGGTCGGCTGACAAAAAGGTCTGCTGTCGTTCGTTAAACACCGTGCATGATCGCGCTCATCATGCGGCAAACACGGTGAGATCTCGCCTCCTCCCTCCATCCTCTCCGCCCTCCTCCCTCCTCCCTCCTCCGCTCCTCTCGCTCCTCCCTGCTCTTCCTCCCTCCTCCACCCCTCCCTCCTCCCTCCTCCCTCCTCCCTCCTCCCTCCCTGCCTCCTCCCTCCCGTCCTCCCTCCTCCGCGGTCGCTGACAACGGTCTGCTGTCGTATTGTAAACACGGTGCTGATCCGCTCTCTGCGCAAACACGGTGACGCTCTCCCTCCTCCTCCTCCCTCGCTCCGCTCTCTCCTCCTCACCTCCTCCCTGCTCCGCTCCCTCCTTCGTCTCCTCCTCCTCCTCCTTCCCTCCTCCCTCCTCCTCCCTCCTCCCCTCCTCCTCCCTTCCCTCCTCCTCCTCCTCCTCCTTCCTCCTTCCTCACGCTCCTCCCTCCCATCCTCCCCCTCCGCGGTTCGCTGACAACGGTCTGCGTCGTTCGTTTAAAGCACCGTGCTATGCCGCTCTTCTCGCGCACACAGTGAGTCTCCCTCCCCTCCTCCTCCTCCCTCCTCCCCCCTCCTCCCTCCCTTCCGCTCCTCCCTCCTCCTCCTCCTCCCTCCTCCTCCATCCCTCCTGCCTCCCTCTCTGGCGTCGCTGACAACGGTCTGCTGTCAAGTTTACGTTAATAAACACGTGCTGATGCCGTCTCTGCGCAACACGGGTGAGTCTCCTCCTCCTGCACCTCCCTCCTCGCCCATCCTTCCTCGCTCCCTCCACTCTCCCTCCTCCCTCCTCCGCGTCGCTGACGAACGTCTGCTGTCGTTTGTTAAACACGTGGCTGATGCCGCTCTCCTGCCGCAACACGTTGATCTCCCTCCTCCTTCCTCTCCTCCTCCCCTCCACCCTCCTCCTCCCTCCTCACCTCCCTCCTCCCTCCTTCTCTTCCGCGGTCGCATGACAACGGTCCTGATGTCGTTCGTTAAACACGTGGCTGATGCGCTCTTCTGCACAACACGGTGAGTCTCCGCTCCTCCTTGCCTCTCCCTCCCTCCACCCTCCTCCCTCCTCCTCCTCCTCCTCCGCTCTTCCTCTCCGGGTCGCTGACAACGGCTCTGCTGTGTCGTTGCGTTAAACACGTGCTGACTGCCAGCTCTCTGCACAACACGGTGAGTCTCTCCCCTGCTATCCCTCCTCCCCCTCCACGCGCTCCTCCTCTCTCCCTCCTCGCTCCCTCCTTCCATCTGCTCCGCGTCCGCTGACAACGTCTGCTGATCGATTCGTATAAAGCACCGTGCTGAAGCCGCTCTCTGCACCAACACGGTGAGTTCTCCTCCCTCCTTCCCTCTCCTCCCTCGCACCTCTCACCTCGCCTCCTCCCTCCCTCCTCCCTCCTTACCTCCCTCCGCGGTGCTGACACGACGGTTGCTGTCGTTCGTTAAACACGTCTGAAATGCCGCTCTTGCACAACCCGGTGAGTCTCGCCTCCTCTCTCCCTCCATCCTCCCTCCTCCCCTCCTCCTCCCTCCTCCCTTCTTCCTCCTCCTCCTCCTCCCTCCCTCCTCCCTCCCTCCTCCCTCCTCCTCCCTGCCTTTCCCTCCTCCCTCGCTCCTCCCTCCCTCCTGCCCTCGCTCCCTACTCCCGTCCCTCCCCCCTCTCCGCGTGCTGACAACAGGTCTGCTGTCGTTCGTTAAACACGTGGCTGATGCCGCTCTCTGCTTCAACAACACGGTCGAGTCTCCCTCCCTCCTGCCCATCCCTCCTCCCTCCTAGCCCTACCCTGCCTCCCTCCTCCGCTCCTCCTCCCTCTCCTTCCTCTCCCATCCCTCCATCCCTCCTCCCTCCTCCCTCCTCCCTCCCTCCTCACTTCTCTCTTCCTACCCTCTCCTCCACTCCTCCCTTCGCGGTCAGCTGACAACAGTCTGCTGTCGTTCGTTAAACACGTGACTGAATGCCGTCTCATGCCACAAACAACGGTGAGTCTCCCCCCTCCTCCCTCGCCTCCTCCCTTCCTCACACCTCCTCCTCGCCTCCTCCCTCCCTCCCCTCGCTCCTCCCAAATCCGCTCCACCCTCCTTCCTCCTCTCCTCCTCCTCCTTCTCCCTCCTCCCTCCACTTCCCTCCTCCGCTCACCTACTCCTCCTCCGCGGTCGTGACACGGTCTGCTGTCGTTCGTTAAACACGTGCGCTGATGCCGCTCTCTGCAACAACACGTGAGTCTCCCTCCCTCTCCCCTCCCTCCTCCTCACCTCTCCTCCTCCTCCCTCCCTCCTCTCCTCCTCCTCCTTCCATCCCCTCCTCGCGCGGTGACAACGTCTGCTGCTCGTTCGTTAACACCCACAGTGCATGATCGCCGTCGTCCCTGCGGCAAACACGGTGAGTCTCCCTCCCTCCCTCCTGCTTCCTCCCTCCTCCTCCTGCCCCCTCCTCCCTCCCTCCCTCCCTCCCCTCCCTCTCCCTCCCTCCTCCCTCCCTCCTCCATCCCCTCCCTCCCTCCTCCCTCCCTGCTCCCTCCGCTCCGTCCCTCCTCCCTCCTCCTCCTCCTCCCTCCCTCTCCCTCCCTCCTCCTCCTCCCCCTCCCTCCTCTTTCCTCTCCCTCCCCCTCCTCCTCCCTCCTCCTCCTCCTCCCTCTCCTCCCTCCTCCTCCCTCCTCCCTCCTCCGCGGTCGCTGACAACGGTCTGCTGTCGTTCGTTAAACACGTGCTGATGCCGCTCTCTGCGCAACACGGTGAGTCTCCCTCCATCGCCTCCTCCCTCCTCCCTCCTCCTCCTCCTCCTCCTCTCCCTCCCTCCTCCTTCCTCTCCCTCCTCCCTCCCTTCGCTCCCTCCCTCCTCGCCTCCTCCTCCTCCCTCCTCCCTCCTCCTCCTCGCCTCTCCCTCTCCTCGCTCCTCCGCTCCTCCCTCCCTGCCTCCTCCCTCCTGCCCTCCTCCTCCCTCCCTCCTCTTTCCATCCATCCCTCACTCCTCCCTCCTCGCTCCTCCTCCCTCCCTCCCCTGCCTCCCTCCCTCCCTCCCTCCTCCCTCCTCCGGGTCGCTGAAACGGTCTGCTGTCGATTCGTATAAACGACGTGCTGATGGCGCTCTCTGCGCAACACGGTGAGTTCCCTCCGCTCCCTCCTCCCTCCTCCCATCCTCCTCCTCCTCCTCCCTCCGCTCCTCCTCCCTCCTCCTCTCCCTCCCTCCTCCCTCCCAGTCCTCGCCTCCTCCTCCTCCCTCCTCCTCCTCTCCTCCCTCCTCCCTCCTCCTCGCTCCCTCCCTCCTGCCTCCCTCCTCCCTCCTCCTCCCTCCTCCTCCTCCCTCCATCCTTATCTACCTCCTGTCCCTCTCCCTCCTCCCTCACATCCCTCCTCGCATCCCTCTCGCTCCCATCCTCCCTCGCCTCCTCCCTCTCGCGGTCGCGTGACAACGGTCCTGCTGGTCGTTCGTTAAACACGTGGCTATGCCGCTCTCCTGCCAACACGGTGAGATCCCTCCCTCGCTCCTCCTCCCTCCTCCGCTCCCTCCTCCCTCCTCTCTCCTCCTCCTCCCTTCCTCCATCTCCTCCTCCCTCCGCTCCCTCCTCCTCGCCTCCTCCTCCTCGCTCCCTCCTACTCCCTCCTCCGCGTCCGCTGACAACGGTCTGCTGTCGTTCGTTAAACACGTGCTGATGCGCTCACTCTGGCAACGACGGTGAGTCCTCGCTCACTCCTCCTCCTCCCATCCCTCATTCCCTCTCGCCTCCCTGCCTCCTCCTCCCTCCTCCCTGCCTCCCTCGCTCCTCCCTCCTCTGCCCTCCCCTCCCTCCTCCCTCCTCCCTCCTGCCCTCCTCCCTCCTCCTCCCTCCCCCCTCCTCCCTCCTCCTCTCTCCTCCTCTCCGCTCCTCCCTCTCCTGCGCCCTGCCTCCCTCCCTCCCTCCCCTCCCCCATTACTCCGCCTCCTTCCTCCTCCTCCTCCCGTCCTCCTCCCTGCCTCCCTCCTCGCGCGGTCGCTTGACAACGGTCCTGCTGTCGTTCGTGTAAACAACCGTGCTGATCGCCGCTCATCTGGCACAACACCGTGATCCTCTCCGGCTCCGCTGCCCTCCTCCCATCCACCCTTCCTTCTTCCTTCTTCTCTCATTCCCTCGTCTCGCCATCCCTCCTCCTCACTTCTTCCTTCTTCTCTCTCGCCCTTCGTCCTCACCTCCCATTCTTCCTCTTCTCCTCCCCTCCTCCCTCCTCCTCCCTCCTGCCTCCTCCTTCTCCCTGCCCTCACTCCCTCCTCTCGCGTCGTGGCAACGGTCTGCTGTCGTATCGTTAAACACGTGCTGATGCGCTCGTCATGCGGCAAACACGATGAGTCTCCCTCCCTCCTCCCTCTCTCTCACTCCCCTCCTCCCTCCTCCCTCCCTCCTCCTCCCTCCCAACCCTCCTCCTTCTCCTCCTGCCTCCTCCTCACTCCTCCTCTTCCTCCCTCCCTCCCTCTCTCCTCCCTCCACCCTCCGTCCCACTTCCTACCCTCCTACCCTCCCCCTCCTGCCTTCCTCCTCCCTCTCCCTCCCCCTCGCTCCTCCTCCGCGTCGCTGACAAAAAGGTCTGCTGTCTTCCCGTTACACGTGCTGATTGCCCGCTTCTCTTGCACAACACGGTGAGTCTCCCTCCTCATCCGTCTTCCCTCCCTCCTCCTCCTCCACCCTCCCTCGTTCCTCCTCCTCCTCCCTCCTCGCGCTCCTTCCTCGCTCCCTCCTCAGCGGCTCCTCCTCCCTCCTGCCCTCCTCCGCTCCTCCCATCCTCTTCCTAACTCCTCGCTCCTCTCCTCCTCCGCTCTCCCTCCCTCCGCTTCTTCCTTTCTTCTCTCCTCCGCTCCCTCTGCTGCTGCTACCTCCTCCTCCCTCCTCAGTACTGATCATTCATTTTGTTGCATAATAATAATAATAATAATAATAATAATAATAATAATAAATAAATAATTTCAGAGTTCACGATCAACAGGAAACCGGAGTTCGGGGGCACTGCCGTCTACAAAGATTACGCCTCTCTCGAGGACGACTTCGCAAAAGAGGTGAGTCGCTCGACCTTGATCGCGACCTTGGCCGCGACACTGCTGACCTCTGCGGCGGGCGAGTCGGCGCGACCTTGATGTGACCCTGACCTTGATGACGACCTTTGCTTCGGGACGATCGTGATGTGGACCTGAGGAGGAGAGAAGGTGTCCCCGGCGACCTCAAGGTGACCTTGGCCCTAACCGTGACCTTGACCCTAACCGCGACCTTGACATTTTGCAGGCGGTGCACCCGGGTGATCTGAAGACAGCTGTGGAGGCGGGGCTGAACGCTCTGCTGGAGCCGGTCCGCCGACACTTCGACACGCCCGAGATGAAAAAGCTCGTCGCCGCTGCCTACCCACCCCCAGCGAAGAGTGAGTCGGTCCGCCCCTCTCCCTCGCGAAAAGTGTGTATCTGCCCCGCTTACCCACCCCCGGCGAAGAGTGAGTCGGTCCGCCCCTCTCCCGCGAAAAATGTGTCAGTCTCCCCCCAGCGAAGAGTGAGTCGGTTCACCCCACCTACCCCCCACGAAGAGTCAGTCCACTCCACCCACCCCCGCGAAGAGTGAGTCGGTCTGCCCCCTCCCCTCCTAAACTTATGATGAGGACAGGAGAGGGTTAGACTGTTGCCACATCTTTAACTCGCAGTGATAGAAGAATTTATAATAGACAGCGTGATAAAATATGTGGATGGCAGCGGACATTTTTCTTAATTTTGTCGTTTATAATAGACAGCATGATAAAATATGTGGATGGCAGCGGACATTTTTCATAATTTTGTTTGTTAATGTTTTTGGCTAATATCTAATCGTATTTTTGCGCGGTTTTTCGAACGGCAGATTCCTTGCGTGGTATCACGCCGCGAAATCAACGCGAATGTGTATCGATTCCCGAATCGACAACCAAACGACGTAATGCGACGCGAACGACGAGCATTTCGATTTGCGTTCGCGCACGACGGACGGTTTCGACGTGCCACTTATGCATGAAAACCGCGAGCATGCTCTTTTGTTTCCTTCGTCGCAGGCGTGCCGGCAGCAGACGTCATCAGCCCCGTGCGATTGGACATGAGAGTCGGAAAGATTGTGGAGATAGAAAAGGTTTGTTCTCTACATGTCGAATATTCAATCGATCTCCAGCTAGAGTCCCTTTATATAGTCGCTCTCCAGACGACCTCCAGCATACAGATGCCGACGCCACCTACAGGTCGAATATTCAATCAATCATTCCTCTCTCTCTTCCTCCAGCGTCCGGATGCTGACGCCCTCTACGTGTTGAATAATCAATCGATCGTCTCTCATCTCTCTCTCCCTCCAGCGTCCATACGCCGACGCCACCTACAGGTCGAATAATCAATCAATCTCCTCTGTCTCCCGCCAGCACCCGGACGCCGACGCCCTCTACGTGTCGAAGATTGACGTCGGCGAGGGGGCGCCGCGCACCGTCGTCAGCGGTCTCGCTCAGCTCGTCCACCAGGGGGAGCTGCGGGAGCGCCTCGTCGTCGTCGTCTGCAACCTGAAGCCGGCGCGCATGAAGGGAGTCGAGTCTCACGGGATGGTGCTGTGCGCCTCCATGTACGTATCAGGGAGGGAGAGGGGGAGGTAGGAGGGGGGAGGGGGGAAGAGAGGGGGAGGGGGAGGTAGGAGGGGGAGGGGGAAGAGGAGAGGGAGGGGGAGGTAGGAGGGGAAGGGGGAAGTAGGAGGGGGAAGAGAGAGGGAGGGGGGTAGGAGGGGGAGGGTGAGGGAGGTAGGAAGGGGGAGGGGAAGGTAGATGTAAAGAGAGAGGGAGAGGGAGGTAGGAGGGGGAGGGTAAAGGTAGAGGTAAGGTAGGAGGAAGGGGGAGGTAGGAGGGGGAGGGTGAGGGAGGTAGGAGGGGGAAAGGTAGAGGTAAGGGGGGAGGGAGGCAGGGTGTAAGGTAGGAGGGAGGGGGAGGGGGGAGGGTAAAGGTAGAGGTAAGGTGGGAGGGAGGGAGCAGAGGGTAGAGGTAAGGTAGGAGGGAGGCAGGGTGTAAGGTAGGAGTGAGGGAGGAGAGGTAGGAGGGGGGAGGGGGAGGGGAGAGGTAAGGTGGGAGGGAGGGAGCAGAGGGTAGAGGTAAGGTAGGAGGGAGGGAGGTGAGGGTAAAGATATGTGTCGGGGTCGTTTCCTTTTATTCGTAATTTATTTCGTTTTATTCTATTCGTAACTTATTTCGTTTCACTTCATTCGTTTTCATGTCATTTCATTCGTGATTCATTCCGCTTCACTTTACGTCGGTCACCGTTTCGCACAGAGCGGAGCCCCGCCAGGTGGAGCCACTGGACGTACCTGCAGGCAGCGCCCCTGGTGACAGAGTCTTTGTAGAGAACTACGAGGAAGGACAGCGCAGCGAACAACTCAACCCGAAGAAGAAGATCTGGGAGAAACTTCAGGTCAGCTAATCGAATCATTCAGGTCGAATGAAACCATTCTCTAAAAGATCTCGCTCTCATGCTTTCTCTCTCTCTCTCTCACGCTCTCTCTCTCTCTCTCTCTCTCTCTCTCTCTCTCTCTCTCTCTCTCTCTCTCTCTC